TAAAAAAATACATAAACATGTTTTCAGTTATTTTATTCGCCAAAGCTTCAAAAAGTATATGTTTTCTTGTATCTGTATCTAGATACATTTTGAAAAAATCGAAAGCAATCTGTATCTAGATACTTTTATCTTCCATATATCTATATCTGTATCTAGATACTTTTAAAAATATCTGTCCCCAACATTGCAGGCTGCCTAAATTTGTGACTCTTACATAGAATACAAAACATGGATGATAAATTAGGACAGTTCCACAGACCATTTAAAACTCTAAAAATAAAACATACTTAAGTCGAAATAATTCGGACGGACATACTTATAAGTAGGACAAACTAAAATATGACAACAAATCGTCGTAACTGATGGTACTGAAACTAATTACATTTGAAGCAGAGGAATTTAAGAAAACGCTTCTGGATATCTTCTAGTCTGGCAATACTACCAACATGATATGGTGACCAGATTAGAGTTCCTTAGTCCATTACGGACATGTTAGCCTTAATTGTCAATGTGTTAATTAAATTGTAAACGAGAGATCAATGTCACACCTAAATCATTTACTTTATCTCCAACAAATAATGGATTGCTTAATACATAGTAAGCAGGCTGAGTGTTCAATTCTAGGTCAAACATCAGTCACCAGTCAACAAAGCTACCTAAATCACCCTGCAGTTTCAAAGAATCAGAGACCGACTGGAACTTATAAAATATTGTAAGGTCGTCGGCAAAAATCAGGAAGCGACAATGTTTAAAAACTGACTTCACATCGTTTATAAATAATAGAAAAAGCGCTGGTCCTAAGTGGGAGCTTTGAGGTACCCCCGAAAGGACGTCAATAAATCTAGATTTTATGAGGCATAATTTGACTTTTTGCTTACGACCAGTCAAATAAGAATTTAAGACAGCAATGGATCCGTTACGCCCATTTAAGTTTATCAACTAACTTAACACAGTCTACGTCAGTGCCATGTTCAATATTTTTTATTAAGTACTGGGAAAATTCAATGGAGTTGGTAGTAGTTGATCGCCCTGACATAAAGCCGTGTTGTTCGTAGTATATCAATATCAGATCACAGACAATAAAAAATCTAAGAAATGTTCTTTTTAAAAAAGAATGTAGAGAAAATCGTCGTCACTAAAGATGAACATTTGAAAACTTCATCTTCTGGCAAGCGAAAACCCACTGACACTTTTTCAAATTATGTATTTAGAAAAGACTTGCAACTATTAATTTGCCTATTTGTGTATTTTTGAACATGTGCGTCTGTTTACATTTTTACATTTTTTCCACGTATTTTATTTGTTTCTGCCTATTTCCTTCTAAAATCTGAATGTTCTATACCCCTAAGCACAAGTGTTTTACGAAGTTCATATTTAATATTTACGGCACTAGATATATATTGTTACGTTGAACGGTGAATTAAAATCGGCGTGGGTAAAATTCAACATTTTATTTCTCAATAACTCAAATTTACACGATTTTTCTGCGTAAACCATCAAATAACAAATTTTATTGCACAGATAAGTACATAGGTAGATTTGAAATAATTAAAACACCCATTTACAGACCCTGATGGAAGTTGTTTCTTGTGTTTCTAGGAAGAGATTTGGTGTGTTAAATACACCAAGCCCTCCTACAACTTTCTTTTTGAGTTCTCTTCCTGTATCAATTAGTTCGCGTTGGCTTTTCATATTTTAAAATAAAGTTCAAAAGTGTAAAAGTGTTTTAAACATTGTTTATCATCTAGTATTTTGAGCCATTTCTAAAAATGCCCAAAGTCAAATCGTCTTTAAAGAACAAGTTAAGGGAATGGACGAAAACAAAGACGTTTTTCAAATATAAAACGGCCAATTATTTTGTAGAAAAACTGTAAGTATAAATTATTAATTAATAATATGTATATCAATTTTTGAAAAATAAATAATAAAATTTAAAACACCACATATCATGACATGTATGCATTCGATACTGACCAACAATAATTTTCATCAAACTGATTACGATGAGTACAACACAACACTATCCCAAATTAAAGATACCCTATTACAAAAACTTTCCTTATATAGCAAACGACTTAAAAGATACAAACAATCACATCTCAGAAAAATTCATAACACTAAATTTTTAAACAACGAAAAACTATTCTATCAACATTTAACTAATTCAAGAAAAACTCAATAAAACTCCAAGTTCACAGGATGTAACAACATTTTGGTCAAAACTTTGGTCTCAAGAATTTGAATTTAACCAGTCTGCCAAATGGATTCCTCACATATCCCATAAACTATCCACAGTTACACCAATGAATGATCATCAGATAACACTTGCCGAATTAATAAATACCATCAATAAGACACACAACTGGAAATCACCAGGACCAGACAAAATCTATAATTTTTGGATAAAAAAATTAAATTGTGTACATATTCATTTACTACATCACTTAAATCAGTTCCTTCTTGACCCATCCTCCTTTCCAACATTCTTATGTCATGGTGTAACATACCTAAAACATAAAGATAACGACACAAAAAATCCATCAAAATACAGACCTATCACATGTTTACCGACAATCTATAAAATATTAACCTCATGCATTACACAAAAAATCTATTAACACTGTTTTAACTCTGACATCATTAATGAAGAACAGAAAGGATGTATTAAAGGATCCTTTGGTTGCAAAGAGCAATTAATCATAGATTCCATCATCCGTGAACAAGCTAGAAAAGAAAACCGAAACATATATACTGCTTTTTTTTATTATAAGAAAGCTTACGATTCTGTGCCTCATTCCTGGCTATGCAAAATTCTAGACTTATACAAAATTGATACTAAAATCTGTACTTTTCTCAAATGTTCCATGGAATTTTGGAAGACCACCCTCCAAATAACCTTAAATGAACAAACAATTCAGTCAGATCCAATAATGATCCGAAGAGGAATTTTTCAAGGTGATTCTCTTAGTCCGTTATGGTTCTGCTTAGCAATAAATCCCCTCTCCGATATCCTGAACAGCTGCAATTATGGGCTCAATATAAGAATTAACAAACAAAGAGAAAACAGAATAAGTCAGTTGCTGTATATGGATGACATAAAAATATATGCAAGTACACAAAATCAGTTAACAAACCTATTAAATCTGACTGAACTGTTTTCCGGTGATATTGGTATTCGTTTTGGTATTGAGAAATGGAAGACCCAAGCAATCAGAAAAGGCGTCCAACACCAAGTACCACATATAACCCAGAATAACGAAATAATCGAAGCCCAAGAACGAAATGATACATACAAATATCTGGGTTTCTGTCAATCCTCCCACATCAATCATACCAAAACGAAGACACAGTTGAAAGATCAATACCTAGCGAGATTAAAATTAATATTGAAGACACAGTTAAATGGAAAAAAAATTAATGAAAGCAGTAAATACATTCTGCGTTCCACTGCTAACATATTCTTTTGGAGTCATTAAATGGTCCAAAACTGATCTTGAAAATTTAAACATCGCAACAAGGAAAATTTTCACACAGTATAGAAGACATCATCCAAAATCGTCGATTGAAAGATTCTCATTACCAAGACAAAATGGAAGAAGGGGTTTCTAGAACCTAGAAAACTTATATCAGAGACAAATCTCAAATCTGAAGAAGTATTTCTTGAAACAAGCAGAAAGAAATGAAATGTTTCGCACCATCACAAGAGCAGATTTGAACCACACACACTTAAATCTGTCGAACACCGAAGAAATCCACACCCCCCACACGATAGACGAAATAATAAATGGGATAAAACAAAAACAACTACATGGAAAATTCTACAAAGACTTAGAGGAAACTCATTCAAGAAGATGTCATTGATTTGGTTAAAAAAATCAATTATGTATGCCGAAATAGAAGGATTTGTGTTTGCTATTCAAAACCAAGTAATCAATACCAAGAATTACAGAAAATACATCATCGAAGATCCGAATATAAGAAATGACTGGGTTACGTTATTTTGGAATCTAACACCACAGTGGTATTTCCAACATGACATCTCAAACATAATTTTACTCATAAAAACCCATTTTACCATCTTAAAAACAAGTATAACTAGATTAGAGACCATTGGATTGATCTTGAAGAGCAATTGTATAAACGACTGGAAGATACCCCGTGGACAGTATGTGAAATCTGCAAGATACAAAAAATACGGGGTACCAAGAGCTTAAATTTGCCAGCGAAGTAAGTATTACAAAGCGAAAATGTAGAAAAAGATTTAAAAATGAAACTCCCTTAATTTTTTTATTTTAAATATTCTCTTTAAACATCGTGTGATGCTAAAAGTTCTGTCAAAGGAAAACAAATTCTGCTGAAAATTTAGAAAAATATCTAACTTTTATGCAAATTGTAACGAAGATTGAGATCGCTGATTATGTAAAAACACATGAAGTTAGCCAAGTTTTGTAGAATTAGTTAAGTAAATAAACACGTCTATAAATGTTGGGTTCATAATTGCTTGTGAATCACCCTGTATTAAAATTAACAACTGATTAAGCGTCCCTTGTTATGAGGATGGTAGTAACTGCAGCTGCTGAAAATAGCTCAGTTTAAATCGACTGTATTTACCTTCTTATCTACACACCCTTATATTTCAATTGAGTTGAACTATAATGAACTTAATAATAATAATATTAATTATGTTGAACACTAACTAAGCCTCTTTTGTTTCATTCTAGTCTATAATTGTGTGAAAACCTGCCGCGTGGCGTATTTACTAATAATAACAGTAATAATAATAACAGCGTCTTCTGGTCAATGGTACAATGGTAAAAACTACCTCCATCCGTATGGTTTATTCCCGCACGTCGCGCGAAGCCTCGTTACATAAAAAACGAGCCAGTTGTTGGTGTATGTAGTTCAGTCGTGCCTTTGATATTTTCGACGTGATGTCGATGAAAAAGGACAGTGCTATCAGGAAGGACGGCGCAGCATCCCTACATTTCGCGAATCTCGTCGCTCAGTCCTCTCTGGGCATTGCTTCTGTGCGGTTCTTGCTCGGCACCCACCTCCCTGTCCGTCAGCCCTAAAATCTATCCTGTACTAACGCGCTTATCCCGAGTGTCGATCGGAGTTCTGCTCCAGGAAGAAAACGACCCGCGATCAACAACTCACCGCCACACACATGATCACCGACGCCGAAGGAACAAGAAGTCGCCGCCGCCGATAAGCACGCGACGTCTGCCGCCGCCGCCGCCGCCGACGTGCATGGCAAGTACCCCTAGCTGTTTTCGATTTCGACGACTAACCGACGCGTTTGCAGACCTCGGCCTTCCACTGAGAGCCATCCGGACATCCTTCTCTCGAAAATAGGTAATATCCTCGCGGTAATGCGAATCGTATGCAGGTCCTTCCGCTGCGGGGACGAGTGCGCTCAGATTGGTGAGGTTTGAAAGCGGAGTTTACCGGAATTAGCGTTCTGGTCGTGGGGTGGTCTTTAGATATGCAATCTGCACATAGATGTGGGACAGTTGGGTCCGGAACAAATGGGACTTTCGCGGAATTTGCACGACCGGAAACATTGCACGTGTTTCGAAACACTTCGCAGCGCTTCAAAGTGATGCTTGTTGATTGGGATTAAATTGAATAACGGAGATTTTAATTCGATTTGAGCGCAATCCTTTGCAGGAGTTAGAAGTGATTAACAAAGTTGACCTTTTTTAGCTTTAATAAACGTTAAAAAATCGTTTCAAAACTAGACTTTATGGTTCTATAAATTTTCTATTCCCCAACAACAATTTGATGACGTCACCTAAAAATATTGCTAGGTAAATCGTATTTATATTTTCTCAAATTTGTACATTATTCACATAAAAGATGTCCAAAATGTCATCAAACGTGAAAAATTGTTCAGATCTATATTTTTTTAATATTGACAAATGACTAATTTTGATTAGATTGCTCCACCTCCTCACTACGGGTTTCCATAATCCTTAAACACTTAAAGTAAAGTGGACAAGGATAAAAACAAATTTTTGTTTGCATATTAGTTGTGTTCCACATATATCTGACTGCAAAACTGGATGCTCTAAATTTTTGAAAACGTTTTAAGATTATAGTAAGCATGGTAGAAGGTTAATCAAAATTTATAGAATGACATGCATACCGGTTATGGGTGCATTATGGATAGCCTACATATTAAATGGCATCAGTTTTGCATACACTACACAGAGGCAAAATTCGAGTCTGCAAAAATAAAAAAACAGTTCTTATTTAATTCTGTGTCGACGTTAGCCTGGACAAGATTAACAGCAACGTCAACCCCTTGTTAAATCACTACTGATGCATCTCCTAGCCTATGGTGAGCTCAAATTGAATTTACTTGGAAAAGTGATTGATCATAGCCTTCTCTAACAGGCTTTGTTCTAAAATGATATGAATTTTTAGAACGAGCGCTGGACGGACTCGAAGTGATTAATGCGCCTGTGAAAAATGGCCGGACCGTCTAAATCGGGCCCGTGAAACCATTATTAATGTTATTGTTGATGTCGTTTGCAAACAACTAAAACGGCATCAGCTCTAAATTCGACCCTTGAGGTAGTTCAAATGTTGGAGTTGAAAAAAGACGCTTTAGTTTCTTTGATTAAAATACCACCAAGGATAATTTATTCGCTCTGAATATACATGAATAGGAAACCAAATACTGTAGGATTATATGACACCACTAAAGCTGCTAACCGCAAAGAAATAAGCCCGTTTGTGCGGTTTGTGTTCGGCATCACCACCATAAAACAACGTTTTGTAGCCAGTTCGATTAAGTGCAACCACAGATACAGCACTCGTTATTTAAAACTGTGGGTTTTGGTGTTTAGTTTAAAAGCACCAGTGGCGTACCATTATTTCATTGAAAAGTTCTATTAAACTTTAACAGATTGTGATTTATTCTTGATAACTGCTGCAAGTGAATTCCCGATTTCACTCACACGAATTAAGTTCTGGTTGAAACTACTTATACTTTTAATTATTCATCGCCACTGCATTTTAAGTAGTTTGCTAACTTTACCGTTTGCAGTTATAATTGGGTGTCTTGTTGGTACTGTGAAATCTTAAGTTTCCGCGGGTTATTAATATTTATTTTTACGGAAAATAGGTTAGTTTATTCATTTTTGCTTCCAGAAATGTTGTTAGCGTTGCCAGGTAAGGCAAGAATTTGAATGTTCACTGTAGTTTTACTTTCCCGTTTATCCAATTGCAACCTGACAAATTTGACATTTCTATTGGATATGTTTACATTGGAGTGAAATTATCGACACTATTATTTGTCAGTTGACATGACAATTTAAGCTACTTGTCACTTATTAAAAATTCACCTGTGAACATTGTCAGCTCCAGAATTTGTAAGTCGTTGTATTTAATCCAAATTAAATGCACACATTTCATTGGACAAATTAATCTGACTTGTATTGACAACGAATCAATTCAGGTTGGCACGACGCATTGGAAGGACTAATTGGATTAAGCTACGTCTGTTTAACAATTTTTAACGTTGTTGAAAGTATGCTTTCTACTGATTCGTCTATACTTCATACCAGATTTTGTAAATTTTTATCACGAGCAATTTCAAGATCCTTACAGCAGTCGTAGCTTTAATATCGTGATTGTGCTTCACTCATGCCGACGTTTATATTATTGAATGACTTATCCTGTCACGAGATATAGCTTACTGTAAAATACGGTGTCAATAAGCTGCCATTGCTGGCGTTTTGTAAATAGTAAAATATGAAGCTACTTTTTGTGTGGTTGCTTGAATATAAAAGCTCGTTTCGCTTCGTAATAGTTGCATCATTAGTTACGTTCTGGGTTTAAAGCAACAAAAAACGAATTTGAACTATCGTTTGTTTGAGCATTGTAGCAGCGATCTACTGGACTATTCATTGAGTGAACTAATTCAAACTTGCCAGGGTTACTTTGGTCGATCTTCGACCTCGTTTCTGACTAGTTATTTTAGAAAACAACGCGTTTTTTTTTTTAATTTAAACTGTTAGGTTTTGTTTGAGGATTATTTTATATTAGGGAAACATTGTGGTTGAAAGTGAAAATAAGTCAATTTTGGAATCGTTATACATTATTCTTCAAAATCGGAAATTAAGTGAACGTTTACATTAAAAAAAAGATAATTAAATATTCTTTGTTTGAAAAATTTTATCCTTGAAACTGAATTAAAAATTCAAATTGTGAACTTGCAAATTATTAAATTAAATTTATGCCTCGCTGGCGCTCACGAGATATATTTTCAAATTTTGAATTCAAATAAAATATTTTTTTGACAAACTATCTCTAATCCAGGCCGAATCTTTTGATAAAAGATGTGTTTCCTAAGTTTTTTTTTAATCCTTTTGCGTTTGTAATGTAACACCCTATATATTTTTTCAGATTTAGATTTCTTATTAAAAAGGACGAAAATTATATCAGACACCACGACTTTCTTGTTCAGGATTCTTCACATATATACTTACATTTTTTTGTAAATATTAAGTTAAAAATGGAAAAATTGATAAATCCAAAGGTTGAACAATTAAAAAATCTAAGTATTTAAAAATAATATTTCGCCTTTTTTTCTTAATATATGGAGTCATCCTTTCACAACAAAAATTTAAAACAGAGGACTACGTATATCAAGAAAAAAAAGCCCAATATAAGCCCCGCCCACCCACCCTATCGCAATTGTGATGGTTTTTTCCACCAGTCGTAAGTCGTGCTGTGTGAATCAAGTTCTTGAGTAATCGTGTTGTTTAAAGCAAACTATATGAAAGAAAGCCAAAAGATAAGCCCCGCCCATCCACCCCGGTCTCAACCTGGCTTTAATTTTTAATATACATAGTATTTTTTGAATTCAAAAACATGTCTTACATGGTAATTTCTTTTAGACAATTAAGGATTTTGCAATTAAGCTCCGCCCTCTTGGCTCACGACGAATAAAAAAATCATCACAATTGAGACAGGGCGGGCGGGTGGGGTTTATATTTTGCCTTTTTTCTTTCTAATATGAGTAGTCATAATATAATTAACTTATATTTTGCCTATTTTTCTTAATTTACGTAGTATTCTTTGAACAACACGATACGCAAAAACATGTTGTTAATTTATTATAAAGAAATAAGTATTTTGCAGTTAAACTCCGCCCCTTTGAGCTCAGGACGAATAAAAAAAATCATCAGAATTGAGATAGGGGGGGAGGGCGGGGCTTCATTTTGCCTTTTTTTTCTTAATATACATAGCCTTCTTTTCACAACAAGAAACTTAAAACATGGTTAAAATGGTACATATGGATTTTGCAATTATGGGGCGGAACCTAATTGCAAAATCAATATTTACTTATACAAATTTTCCATTCTAAACATGTTTTAAGTTTCATGTTGTGAAAAGAATGGTATACATATTAAAACAAAAAAGCAAAATGAAAGCCCGCCCACCCGCCCTGTCTCAATTGTGATGATTTTTCTTATTCGCCGTGAACCAAAGAGGCGGAGCTTAACTGCAAAATACTTATTTCTTTACAAGAAATTAAAAACATGTTCTTGAATATCGTGTTATTCAAATACAATGTCTATTCAGAAACAAAGACAAAATATTAACCCCGCCCACCCACCCCATCTCAATTCTGATGAATTTTTCTTATTCGCCGTGAACCAAAGGGCGGAGCTTAACTGCAAAATACTTATTTCTTTACAGGAAATTAAAAACGTGTTACATTTTGCCTTTTTCTTTTATTAATATGTATAGACTTCTTTGCAAAATTCATATTTCTTTGCAAAAATGTACCATTTTAACGATATTCTAAGTTTCTTGTTGCGAAAAGATGGCTATGTATATTAAGAAAAAAGATTTTTACATTTTCTCAAGTTTTCTCCACATTTCATTTTAGCAATTCTGTAAAAATAGTAGAATTTTTTGAAGAAATGAGGCTGCAAAAAACTTCTGGAGATCGAAATCAACAAAATAAATTCATTTTGTGATTTTCGATGTTGCTCTAAAAAAAGTCAAAAATTTAACTTTTGACGAAATTGTCAAAAAATCCACACTCTAGGAAATAGATTATAACGAACTGAATTTTAAAATATAGCTTGTTGATGGCTCCGGAGCAAAACTGAAAATCTTTTTTGTAAAGAATATGTTTAGCTCAACTTCGAAAAAATTGTATGGCCAAAAATTATAAAAAAGAAAAAGATGTTTACGCATAAAATATGGAAAATAACCCAAAATTGCGGTTCAGTTGAATTTCAGTTCAGTTGAACTCGTTTTGAACCAGGCATTTGTAAAACCGGGCCTAAAGTGTAGCTCATTTGTTAAAATCAGTATTATCTTAACAAGTA